AAAAAAAAGAGCCAAAGAAAAGATACACAATATTGGAGCGGTGAATGTGGGGCAGCGTTGGGTTAGACGAATGCTTCAAGGCCTACATTACACTGCTCAAATTCTAAACCAACTGCTTCCATTGCCGAGATACCGGGCGCTCATATTATAAGGTAAGGTTATAAAAACCATCTTTTAAGATCATTTTAGTGAAAGTTTCATGCTTCAAGGCGTACCATTCACTGCTCAAATACTAAACAACCTGCTTCCATTGCCGAGATACAGGCCGCTCATATTATAATGTAAGGTTATAAAACCACCTTTTAAGATCATTTTAGTGAAAGTTTCATGTTCCTATCTCATATAATTTAAGAACAATGATGAATAAATTATTTTCGAGCAAAATTTAAATGGCCGGCTGAATATATTACCGCCGGAGAGACGGCAGCGGAATTTAAATGACCGCGCGAAAGGGTTAAGAACCTCTTCAAAAATGGTTATTTGAAAAGACCAAGAAACAAATGGGATGATAATTAAGAATGTGGTTGAAGAATGTGGCTCAAGTTTGCATTCAGCAGTAATGTTTGGCCTTAGGGGTGTTAAAATTCTCAAAATAGGCACACTATACTTCAAATATTCAAGCAACTGATGCATTTCATCACACACACACACAAATTTGTTATTAAAAAAAGAAACTTAGATTTTTTTGATATTCCACCACATTAAATTTTGAGCGTCTACTTGAAATGGCTCGTCCATTACCACACATCAGAAGAATTTCTGTAATATTTGTTTAAAGTATTTACCATGTAGGATAGCAATTGTACTGTCCAATATGGCAATTTACAAGTATGACTGACAAATTTAGTACTGATAGCATAAACCAACAGTATTAAATTTGTTAAATCCACTCAGCTGAAGAATAAAGACAGGCATATTGAAGTCATCATGTGATGCATACTGTTGTTTGTGAACACACTTAACAAACGACAACTACATGCCTAGAGAGAAAATATTTGGCTCTAAGGGAAGGAAAGGAAAACAAGAAAGGGGAAAAATTACAAAAGGAAAAACTATGCTGTTTATACTCCTCATCTAATATCATCAGCATGATAAAAATTAATAATTAGGGCAGAATGTATTAAAATAGAAACTAGAAACAATAGTAATATTGGTTAGAAAACCTCAGGAGAAGGTAGTATTTGGTGAAACTTCCATGTAGCTTTAACACTTTGCGGACCGGCGATTTAAATATTTAAAACACCCTGGGGACTGGCATTTTTATACCTACTACCCTCACTTGTGCACTGTTCACTTTAAAAATTAATATAAAATCTCCGAATTAATTTTATGAACTATAATTTTTGGAGAACACTTACCAATGCTCCTAGAAGTGCTTGAAAGTGTCATATTCCTGGAAACATTCCCCTTTATGAAGTGGCATTATACACTTTCAAATGTAGACAGTCATAGTCTTTTTTTGTGAACTGTGCAAACAGGGCATTGCCTAGAGGGATGCTTCCCCTTGGAATGTTCACTCTTCACAATTTTCACAAGGGTATGACTCTGCATATCACCCGAGAGTGGCCCAGGGGTGTCCACATGAGGCCTGCGTGGGGTGGGAGTTCATGGGCTAGGTCGCACTAAGTCTGTCTGACTCTGGTTCTGCCGCCACCATCTCGTCTGTAGCCCAAGCCTTTGCCACATTCATCAGAAATGCTTGGTATTTCAATTTAGAATCAGGGTTTAGATTTTTGTAAACCAAAAATGAATTGAAAATGGCACAAATTATAAGCCACAAGGCAACTTTCACTTTTATTATCTGTGGCCACAATTCTTTGTTGACCCCTGTCACTTCCACTGTCTGAGTCACTAATCACTACTACTCCACAAGGCACATCAGATAGCTCCATAAACAACTCCGAGAGATCCGCTTGCCTTCAACCACTTTTGTCCTTGAAACATATTCCCCTCTACTAACTTCCTGCCTAGTACATAAAGAGCTGGAAGGGGCAAAGTTTATTTTCTTTTGGAGTAGGGACCCTAGCCAGCCAGGTCAAGTTGCTGAATACCTAGCATACATTCCGAAGATTTATTACGCAGTATTCATTGCAGTTGCATGGCGCCAAGCAAGATATAGTGTGTTTCAACATAACGTGTCCTAAAGTCATAATAATATGCCACCGGTCTGCAACGTTTAAAAGCGAAAAACCTTTTGCAGGGTGCGCGGTCTGCAAAGTGTTAAGTTGTGAAATGGATTTAAATGGCTCCGGTTAGGAGCATACAGCAGATTTCTGTGGATATTCTGATGAACCTTGTGGATGCATAAGAGCACAGAATGCCCTGACCACTTGAGAATAATTACCTACCTACCACTCAGCACTACAGCCCTGGGTTAGCATTGACCTCCTCTACAACCAGTCTCCACAACCAGTGTATGCTGCCATAGAAATGGACCCATGCATGATGACCCCGAGTCTGGTTGTTAGGTTTCTGAACAAAAATTCTTTTTACATGATGGTTGGCCAATGCCCAACCTGTAGGACCAGGGTATCTCTCTTAGCCTGGACTCTACCCCTTGACCTTTCTGGCATGGGTACCTACTGGTAATTAATCTACCACCAGCATAGCTCTCCAGGTCACAGGGTCAAACAAGCCCCACCACTACAATAAGTTGGAGATGCCTTTGGGGGGAAAATGAATAATTATCTGCAGCTAAACAAATGCCCTCTACCAGAGTTAGTAAAGATTAGATAACATATTTTGGAGGTGGGAATGAGAATCAACGCAACAGTAGCATTACCTGCATCGTTTATAGAGGTACTTGGAGCCTTCAGGAACTGTCCATTTCAATTCTTGCTCCTTCTTTCCAGATTCAGCATCCCAGACTATTGCTAGGCCATCTTTTGATATACTTATCACCTGCAAAGAGGCATTCAAGAATGAACTCAAGTTCACCAGTTTCTCATCTCTGTTTTAGTGTAGAGCAGAAGTTCTAGAACTGTGCTTCCTGAACATCTTGGGAACATAAAGTGTAATGGAAAATTTTTTGAACATGCACACACGCATGTACATATATAATGCATCATTTAAAATGCAACTCAAACAAAAACTGTGTTCTATGGGAGTGTTCCGTAACAAGGTGAAAGGTGTGATGTGAACTTTTACCTATTGTAAGAAATTAATTGTCGAATTTCATTCATTTTATTGTATCCCAGTTACTGTGTTTCATATGCTTGTATTTTATTCTCAGCCATTGCACTGATTAAATAAGATGATGCTTGTTTATTCTTTATTGCATGCTGTGATTTTTTATGTACAGTAATGTTGTATTCTAACATTATTCTATTCTATTCTAAACGTAAATTATTTACTCACAGTTGTTGTTATATCATAGTTTTCATTATTGATTTATTTTTATTTTTCTTGCATCTATGCAGCTTTTTTGATATGCTTGCCTCATGATCTGTGTACGTGCTTTTCCCTAAAACTGCAGGGATTAGCATGGGTTTTCCTGTCTCTTATAACGCTGTTTCGGTATTTGCCCTTGTTTATTAGAAGTTAGAGCTTCTTCAACTTTATGACTTTCTTCCTGTAACGATGCACCAACCGATTGTTGGACTTCATTTAAAATTATAAATATTTAAAAAATAAGTCGGTATAGTGTCACTTCTTTCGTCTGAAGAGTAGAAATCCTGCGTTTTACAATTGTTTCAGTTCTATCACAGCTGTGCTCTGAAGTAGTTCGCAAATTTTGGTTGCTAGTTAGAGAATTACAGATGGGTCGTTTGAGATGTCCCTGACTGTATGGCCACTTGCTGACGGCAATAAAGTGGTGATGGACACAATTAAAGAACATTTAGAAATGCTGCAGCAGAAATTCAATAAGTATTTTGGAGAGAGTGTACAAGATTTCGACTGGGTTCATGATCCATTTGTTGTGAATTCAGAACATCTTCCAATTAATATACAAGAGGAACTCGTAGATTTAAAAGCAGACAGAACATTGAAACTAAAACTTCTCGAAGTGCCTTTGGATAGGTTTTGGTTGGCAATAAGGAATGGATACCCGGCTATCTCCGAGATGGCAGTTAATGTGTTATTGCCATTTTCAACTACATATTTGAGTGAACTGGGCTTCTTGACGTTAACTGAAATTAAAACATCAAAGAGGGAGCGGCTCAAATCCATCGATGAAGAAATGAGACTTACGTTGTCAACGATTCCACCACGGATTAGTCGCCTGTGTGCAGCTATGCAGGCACAAGTGTCACATTGAAGGTATGAGTAGAATTACTGTATTTACTTTAATAGTATTAGAAGTGTATTTTCTACACTCTACAGTGAATTAAAGTTCATTAATTGTTAATAAATGCAAGAGTCGATTTCTGTTTAATGATAATAAAATAACAATATAATAATATAAGTTGATCACGTTATGTATTTATATTGTCTGATATCATGCGTTTTTGAGGGGAATAACATTTTGGTGTGCTGTGTTGAGTCATGGATACTTCATGGTGTGCCACGAGTAGAAAAAGGTTGCGGAATGCTGTTCTATGGTATAGAAATGAAATCAGAAGCTGTTCCCCCATGTACGTGAATACGCGCATTATTTTATATACCTATTATATAGATGTCACACCTGTGACAGGTAAAAACAGGTAAAAACATGTCACATGTTCCGAATCAAGCAGTCGTTTCCATAGTAACGCTAGAACAGTTGCATAGGATAAGAGGTTCTGTTGCGTATCAACGGATGAAACCGGAAAGTATACTTCCCTGGAAACGCAATAACAGTGGGCCGTTGCATAGGAATTGCCGAAACAACAAACGCGTTTTCCCGGAGATGAGAGGATAAGAGGTTCCGTTCCATAACAACGGATGAAACCAAACACTTCTACAAGATGTTCTGTCGTCCATTGAATACCAACAGATCGTTGCCTAGGAATAACCGCAGCAGCGAGCACAGAACGCGTGAAATCGAACCCTGGGCGAAAGTGCCTTCTATTGCGTCCGAAACCAGGTTATAACAGTCCAGCTCCGAAGAGTTTTTTGGTGATACTGGACGTGATAATAATTATACTCGCTGGTGTAAAAGTGAGCGTTCAATAACGTATTTGCTGAATCCGAGACGTACATGGAAGTTATTTGTCGCACTGAATAGGAGACACGTGACCACAACAACGTTACATAGGTAACATGCGACATATTCTTATTATTAAAGTACACGTAAATAATGCAACAATTTAAAAGACATCAAGAATATGTCACTCACTAAAAATGTATTTTAAGACTTTATGATGTTAAAATCATGTGTGACATATGTCACACCTGTGACAGATTGGTTGGTTGTTAAAATATTAATTGTACTCAATATTAATGAACTGTAATGTGTTATACGTCGTTCATTTCATGAGTATAGTTTATTTTTCATTGTTTTTCATTTCGTTTTCTTAACTGTTCTCCTTATTTTTCAGTGCAATTGGCGGTGGGAGTGAGCTGTGTCGAGTGATCTGCGTTTGAATTGAAATATTTCATTAGTATTTTTTATTTTTTGTTTCTTTGTTTTCCAGTTCGTCTTCTTTCCTTTTTTAATGTTTTGCAATTTTATATGTTTTTGTTATAACTTTCTTTCTTCTTCTTCAGTGCAATCGATCTGCTTTAGTTCATCCAAACAATGCCTTGCAGAAGATCAAACTTAGGTCATCATACTTGTGGAGCGGAAGCAATTCACTCGATCTGCCACAGCAACACGTGGCTGGGTACAGCTAGTAATATTAATAAAGGAGAGGACCCAGTATCAAGTCTCAAGGGACTCCATGTTGTACTCTTTATCAATTTGAAGCAGCGTGATCATGTGTATGAGACTCTCCTGCAATTCTGTGTATCCTGTCTACTTATGATTCAAACCATTATCGTGAAGACCCCAAGAAATAACTCATAGATGGAAGAATGAATAATGCCATACCAGCTTCTCATTGGGACTGATGTCCACATCATCAATCTCTTTACTGTGTGCAGGAATATCAATCATCTTCCTTAGTGACGGAAATTGCCAGAGACGAACATGCCCATCAGTGCCACCTGTGGCCATCAGCCTTCCTGAGTGACCAATTCGCACCACTCGCTGCAAAGGCTCATCCTCACTGAAACAGATAATTGGGTTGTACTCTTCCATATCTGTCTAGCTTTCAAGAGGCTGCCAAATGCATATGACATTTATGTCCATGGTTTGGTCGCACTTGACCTTCCAAGTGGGTAAGATGTCTCGAGATTTCATGTGCTGGTTTTCATCATAAGAAGTATGATTTCTGCACATATCAATCCTCATTTTCAACTACAGTGTTGTGGATATAACAAAAGATATCAAGTCAAACATATATGCTGTGTTTATTAGATCCTATAATTAGTTTTATGTGTAAAAAAAAAGTGCTACATGCTTAAAAACTGTCCTGTGTTCTACCTTCTGCTAACAAATATTATGGCAGGTCCTAACATATGAGTCATGGAGATGTACTAGGTGAACTACTGCAAGAGAATGAAGTGACATTTGTGAGCATGAATATAGTAGTGACAATGACATAAATGTGAAAAGTTCTTTGAGTAGTCAATAGAGTGTATATTTAATGAAGAATATGCCAGTGACAACAGTTACATGCAGCATGGCACATGGACAAACTTAGGTCCTGAGTGATCACATTTTCAATTTACTGGCAAGCACGTTTCTTTAAAATGTTCCCTTAATAGACCCCATTAACCCAACAGTATATTTGTAGTTGTTTGTTACACCTGAAAGTGCAGAACCAAAAGTCAGAGAAACAAACTGTAAGCCAAAGAATTTCTATAAAACACAACTAATCTAAAAGTAAGATCTAGGGTCCATCTCTGGAATGAGACAAACAGAAATGAAATAATGAAGTTACTAGCATGCCTTTTGTTAACAATGACCTCACCAGAAATCTGATGACAAAAGTTAATTTTCCAGGAGGAAAATCTTGGAAACACCCATATTTTTGGAGTTTTATACTGAAATGAGGTTTCACCTTCTACTTGAATTTTGTAATTTTGTTGAAAATGATGGTTATGATGAGGTCACGTGTGATTCCAAAAGATTATACACACTGAAACCCATGCTAGAACATGATGCCAAATTTGGGACTATACATACCCTTAATTAATTGCTGAAAAAGAAGAGCAAGATCACTCTGGCAAAAAAACCCATTCTCCGGAAAACAAACTAAAACTCAACCAACTCAGCAACAAACTAAAACTACAACTACACGACTTAAGGACTACATCTTTCGAAAAATATACCGCAAACCTCTCCAGACAAGAAAACTCTATCTGGAAACCCATACGGAACAAAAGACGACCAACACCAGTTACCTCACCAATATATAAGTGCACTACTCCTCCAAGCAAATGGGCAAGAAGCGATCACGAAAAAGCTGAATCGTTTGCAAAACACTTACAAGAAGTATTCACCTCCCAGGACAACCTACCGCTGTAGGAAGTAGACTCAATGCTCAACGAAACGGTGCAAAGACCAAAACAACCAAAGCCTTTCACGCTAAAGGAGATCCACAAAGCAATAAACACACTTTAAAGGAGAAAAAAAAAAAAAAAAACCCCCCAAGACTAGACCTCATCACTGCCGAAATTATAAAGCTGCCAAAAAAAGGACTTAAATTCCTTTACCTACTAAATGCCATTCTCCAATTAAACTACCGGCCCCTCCCACTCAAAACAACCCAAATCACAATGATATTAAAACCTGGGAAAAACCCAACCAACATCTCCTCATACTGACCAATAAGCCTCTTACCAATAATAGCAAAACTACTTCTCAACAGAGTCAACCAAGACTCAAATCCAATAAGCTGGACTCCAGACCATCAGTTCGGATTCCGTAGAGCGCACTCAACCACTCAACAAAGCCATCGTATCGCCAATACCATATGTCAAGCACTGAACAAAAATCAATACTGTACTGCAGTATTCCTATACATAGCCCAGGCTTTCGACAAAGTCTGGCATCCAGGCTTACTCTTCAAAATAAAAACACTTCTCCCATCACACTACTTCCCAATATTACGCTCATACTTAAGTGACAGAACTTTCGTAGTTAAAGTAAACAATGAACCATCAAGAAGACTACCAATCCTCTCAGGTGTACCACAAGGAAGCCTGCTCAGTCCCTTCCTCTACACGCTTTACACCCACGGCCTCCCCACATCCCATAAAACAATCATACGGACATTTGGCGACAACATGGACATCTTCACCACACACGATAACCTCATCACAGCAGCAACTAACTTACAGAACCACCTCATATTCATAGAAAATGGCTAAAAAAATGGAAAATCAAAGTCAATGAAACAAAATCCATTCAAACAACGTTCACACTCCGAAAAGGCAAATGTCCCCCGATTCAAATAAACCACACTACCAGCCAACAAAAAGATCGAGCAAAGTATCTCGGACTTACCTTTGATAGCAAGCTCAACTGGAAACAACTCATCCTCACAAAAAGAAAACAAATGGACCAAAAAATAAAAGACCTATACTGGCTCATAGGAAAAAAATCACACCTATCCACTGACAAGCTGCTAATATACAAAGCAGTCATTAAAACCAATATGGACATACGGAATCCAACTACGGGGATGCGCCAGCAAATCAAATATAGATCTCATCCAACGAACTCAATAAAAAATTCTTTGTCTCATCGTAAATGCACCATGGTACGTGTCTAACCACACCATTCACACCGACCTCAAAACTCCATACGTCACATAAGTCATCAAAGAACACACCGGCAACCACTTCAACAAATAAGCTAACCACCCGAACCCACTGCTCCAGCCACTTTTACAGCACCACCACAGAAGAACTGGATGAAAGTGGCCAGAAGACGTAAAAATCTGAGGGACGCGTCGATGGAAGTGATCCACTCAAGCCCCTGAAGTGTAAAATCCTTAACTAATTGTACACAAGACAGCAAACTGACTAAAAGATTGTAGTATCTGATTGTAAATAAAGGAGATTACAAAATATATATATATATACCCCTGAATGTGATGTGCTAGTATGTGAGTCCCTGATGATGTGGAAGGGATCCTCATCATGGAAGGTAAAGTAAGTAAAAGGCAAGCTATCCCTGTACCAGGCCGTGAAGCCCCATAGGGTTGTGAGATGTTGAGGTTCCCACATTATTTAGACAATCGGCTCAAAGATGGTGGTAAGGTTGTCAGCCTTACATGCTGGCTGCGCTTTACTCCCCAGAAAAATTATTTAATTAATTCCTGGTATGCATTTCTGTTAGGGGCTGAGTGAACCCCATGGCCATAGGGCAGCTGGAAGGTTTAGGTCAACTGAAGAAAATCCAGTGACCTCATCAGGACTTGAACCTGCGACCTTCTGGCTTGTAGCATAGCCCCTCAACCAACTACACTACCGCATGCGCCCCATCATGGAAGGCACACACACACACACACACACAAAAAAACTTCGTGGCCTGTAGTCTGCAAGCGAACTATATTGACCGAGTGACCACCACTTGTCAGCGAAGTTGGTGCCAACTTTTGCAGATAGAGAGTGTGTGGTCAGTGCAACGGATTCCCACAGCCGTTAAGCTTGGTTTTCTAGATCAGACATCTCCTCAAAATGTGCGAAATCTGGCATCAAATCGTTTCAATTGTGTGAAGCCAAATCTGGTTATGTATGCAATTTTATTATTTACAGTGGTCAGGAAACCATTTTTGAGATTTCCTAAAAATGAGCCACATGACTCAAAAGTAGCTTTAAAACTAACGGATCTCCTTCTGAATAAAAAATAACATGTAATCATTAGTTTTCAAGCTCTGATCTGTTTTATAAGCTGTGCAGTAAACAGGCTGCTGCTATGGGAGCCTTGTATCAGAACAGGAAGGGTGTCCTTGCTGAAATAAAGAAGGAAGAACTGATGAAGGGAGAACATGTGTCAGTTTACAGACAGACTAATGATAATGAAGTGGAGAGACAAAAAAGATGTTTTTCTTATAAGTACCACACATGATGACAAACTGGTTCCAGCCGGGGATCAATGGAAAGATGAACAAGTCCAATGCAGTCACTGATTATAACTCCAGCATGGAAGGCGTGAACATATATGATGCTTACTTGACGAGCTATTGTAGTATAAGAAAAAGACTAAGTATCACATAACAGAAGACCAGGCTTTCAGGCAAACTGTCAAAAAATGCCCCACTGACAAGGCTGAATAAACCTCACTACCTCTCCTATATTGCTGCACCAGCTTCAAAGCAGAATCCATGTGTTGTGTGCTACCAAATGTGTTGATGTTCTGAAACAAGGTAAAACTCCAAAGGATGTATAGTGGCCTTGTGTGCTACACTGTTTCCAGCATTGCCACATGGTGGTCAACTACTACAGGGGTGAAAGGGAAGCGAGGGTGAACAAATGTTAACAAGAGCCTGAGGGCACAACTTTTTGTGATTACATGGTGTACTAAGAGCTGGTACTGAAAACTGAACCATAAAGTTATTTTTTATATGTGTCACTGGGGCTGCAACAGTTGCATATTTATTAGAGTGCTGATTTCATAGTTTTTACAAGATCATGCTTTTGCAGTTAATCTTTTGAAGACCAAATAGCTCTTGTTGCTTAGTTTGTTCATCTGTAGCAGCTCTGAACTTGAGAAGGAAGTACAAACTGAGTTCACACATGTCTATAAAACCACCTGTTATTCAGTATCAGTATACTGCAGATGTGCAGTATAAAATGTTTCCGCTCCTACACACAACAGTTCTGCAGTATAAAATCTTTCCTGTTTGTAACACTTGGGCGTGTTAGCAGAAACCCCATGCCATAAAAGTGTGCTGGCCATAAGCCTATATATTTCTATCTTCACAAGTTTCTCAGCTTATTCAGGGTATTTGGCGGAAGTTGATACAAAGGAAAATTGCCTGCCCCCTACTTTCTTTGAAAAACCCAAACAAGCGTCTTCCATTTACCGGATCTGACGATTCTGAACAGTTTCATCCTGCTATCATCCTGTGGTGCGAAACTGTCACACAGGGACTTTCGTCTTACCCTTATGCGCAACATGCTGGAACATGCTGTAATGTGTCGCTCCCAACCACAATGCCCATTAGGTCGACCTCCTGCTCTGTCAACCATAATATTTCGTCTAGAGGAGGCCAATCGACATCACTGGCCGACCAATTGTGCCATGAGAATGAAATGCCGTCTTTGTTCTGCACGTGGAAAGAGGAAACGTGTTCAGACGAAGTGTGAGAAATGTGATGTGGGACTGTGCATTCTCGGGTGCTTCAAACAGTACCACACGAAAGCAAAATTTAGTTAGACGACACAGGGGAGTAGCCTGTACAACCATGAAACAAATAACAACAACAAAAAAGGCATTGTACATTGCATTTACTGCCAAAGAAGTAACGGGATGCTTTTAAGCCATTTAGAAAAGAACCGGGATGCCATCCCGCCGCATCCCACCCCACCTCAAGCCCTGATTACAGAGGTGTGTTTGAAAATTCGGTTGCATACCCTATTGTACTGGCTGTGTTCCTTCCTTGTGGCCTGCACAATATTTGGGTGACTTGAATTATTCTGATATATACTGCAATGATAATAATATAGGAGCTACACTTTATTACTAACATCAGACAGGACACAGAACTGTGTGCTATTTCTTAACCTTTATCGGACGAACGTCATCATATAATGTCGTTAAAAGTTAGGGCAGCTGAGCGAACGACATCATATGATGTCGTGGATTCCACGCGTATAAGGTTTTTTTAAAATTAAATTAAAAATATAAATTGTTGTTCTATTTATATGATTTTTGGTCACCACCTTTATAAGGAGACAGCCTTCCTTCCTGCATAATCTAATGTAATCTAGCAACGTCATATGACATTAAAAGTAAGGCCAAATGGCCAAACGACATCATATGATGTCGTGCCTTCCACGCGTGTAAAGATTTTTTTAAAATTAAATTTAAAATATAAATTGTTGTTCTATTTACATGATTTTTGGTCACAACCTTTATAAGGTGACAGCCTTCCCTTCTGCGTGATCTAATGTAATCTACCGTCGTATGGCTGAACGACCTCATATGATTTCGCGCATTGCACGCGTGTAAAGATTTTTTTTAAATTAAAT